TCATTAAGTATAAAATGCTTTCATCACTCAAGGATGATATTATTGGTTAGGCAAAAGCAATTCGTCTGGACTCTCTAAATTGTTAACACATTAATAAGAAACATATTTTAAATATGGCTCATTTGATGCTAATCATAAAAAAGATTGTGGGATATATTACATGACTTTAGACAGTGTTTCCTGCACTACAATCTTCAATTCCGTGTCTGTGACAACAAAACTTAGCTACCATATGCATATGAAACATGAAATGATCATATCATGTCGTTATCTAGCTACAGAGAGGGTGACGGGCATCCGTGTATCAAATTTTATTTTAACAATAACTTGTCACCGTTAGCTCGGACCCTGCCTTTCTTCCTACGACAGGCAACCTACATTCCATGGCGTATCTCATTACAGCGGTCCATGTAATAAAACAGGCTTACATCATAATGCTACCTCCGATATTACTACCAAATCCCTCGCTCTCCATCACTCTTTAACATCCACTACACACCGTGTTTGCAATTTTCCGCCTGGCTGAATCCTTACGGATTATTCTCTCAGCTTCTCGTCCATTTTACCCGGCGCCTCGAGTCTCTACCAAGTTACCGGCGGCAACGAGAGTCGATGAAGAAAGTGAAGTACCTTCTTGTTGCGGCTTGTTATTTTGAGCTGCAAGTGTAAGCTCTGCTGGTTATCAATTAAACTATCCTTGGCTGCTTGATATACCTCATAATAATTTTCAATTTTCCATCAGCATTAGAATTTATGGCAGTACTAGTAGTGATTATTTTTCTAATAGGCTTATGTAAGTATAAAGCAACCAAGGGACCAACTGCTTTAAGTCCTCTTGGTAGTGAGGATAAATGCCTTACCAAAGAGAAGAAGCGCATTGATTTGGTTTCGAACCCAGGACCTCCCCGTTACGAGACCAACACTCTACCACTGACCCATCGTGCCTCCTTGTGCATTAACATAGTTACATGTTTTATTTTTGTTTGTTCTTTAAAATTACGGCATATCTATGATAACAATGCTTCACAAAGTTCATAGAGATAAGCATTGTCATTTTAATTGATATCTGACAAAATAGAAGGAGGAGAAGGAGGAAGAGGAGGAGGATGAGGACGAGAGGTGAGGTGAAGGAGGAGAGGAGAGGAGAGGAGAGGAGAAGTAGAAGAAGAACATAACAATGTATGTAAGGAGTGGATATCATCTCGTCTTGAACAAACATGAACTTGTCAAAACCAATTACACAGAGTGCAGTGTTACCAGTAGGAGGTCCTCATAGTTTGACGGTAACAAGAGAGGACAGGTTAAATATGAGAGGGGGTGACAAGACGTCAGAGAGAGAGGGGGAGGCGGGGATAGGAGGTGTTCTTATGATTTGACGATAAGGGGAGGGGACAGGGTAAATATAAGAGGGGGAGGTGAGATGTCAGAGAGAGAGAAGAGAGAGAGAGAGAAGTGAGAGGGGGAGGCGGGGATAGGAGGTGTTCTTATGATTTGACGATAAGGGGAGGGGACATGGTAAATATGAGAGGGGGAGGTGAGATGTCAGAGAGAGAGAGGGGGAGGCAGGGATGGGAGGGATGCAGTGGCATCAAGAAAAGTAGAATGACAAAGATGAAGAGAAAGAGAAGAATGGGGGAGAGATGAAGTTGTATAAAAATATTCTTAAAAATTTATTGGAAGAGATTGAAGGGTGAGAAAAGAAGGAGAGTGGAAAAGAAAAAATAGACGGACAATAGATCGGGAGGAAGCAAAGAGAAAGAGGAGCAAAACAAATAGAAAAGGATTTCTAAATAGTCACAGATATTGTCTATAAATGTAATAACATTTTATTCTCTAAACAACTTTCTGTCAGTTCTTTGTTCCAGAGCAGATGCTATAAAAAGCTATGGAGTCATGAGCCCTTCATCAGTACACAGCTGCGTTTGTTAGTTTCTATTCAATTACTCATTAATTTCCCATTAGATTAAGATGTACTGGAACCAATTCTTCAATTCCTTCTTACAACATTACAGCTAATTACAGACCAAAACTTGATAACAGTCTGCCTTGGTGATCTTCAGGGTCAGAGGTTATGAAAACAATCTTTGATATTGAGAGAAAGATTAATCATTAAATACATTCCAAAGTACCTGCTTGACTTTATTAACTTGGCTGTAATAGAACTCATAATCATGTTATACAAACAAACATTATTTTGAAGTCAAAGTTATAGATACACAAGGACAAAGCGATCATCAGGGCCAAATACAAACTAATAAGATTATGTTTGAAAATGGGTGGTTCCTCATTTGTTTCTGATTCTGTGCCCAAAATTAGCAGTGTCTCATACATGGGACTTCATCATGGTATAATATGCTATATTTCCTGTACACCCACAATTCAAACAGGCATCAAAATTAGAATTCAACTTGGAGTGAGGTTGATGCCAGCCCTGAAAAATATAATGTAGATGTATTTATAGAGCAGATCCCATGTAGAAGTGTGTGCTTGCATCATAAAATACATTATTATCACTTTACAGCCACACTTTATAGCTCCGTAATAGGGACATTCCATTCTCAATTTCTACAATTTTGATGGAAAACGGTTGTTCCATGATTCTGAGTAGTTCCAACTCTGAGAAATATACAAAGGCCAAGCGAAATGTAGATTACTCCCTGATGTGTTGGCTTAATACAACAGTAGGGAGATGATAGAAAGTCATGTTTGTTTTGAGTTGGACTGCTCATCTTCAGAATAGAGGCTTTTGGTTAGATATTAATAGCCAGAGATAGAGTAGAAGAATATTTGATCTTGCCGGTAGCTATTATTAAAGAGAAAACTTGGGATATCTATTCCCTGAGCGAACTCTGGCTTGGAAAATAAGTAAATACCTCCTGGCACAGTTAACTGCAATTTGATTACTCTAGATCCACTTTGATAAACATACGACTCATCAATTGATGAATTTGTAGGGATTATGGTTGATGAAGATGTGGATCCTAGTGTAACCATGGAAACAACATGATCATTTAGAGAATTGGGTGAAAGAACAAACATTCTCTATAACAATTTGAAATGGGACTTTTTGTTTCATTGGTGAACACATGGTGCTGGTAGTCAATGGCGTTTGGGGATTGTATAGAAGATAAAACCTGTTCCTTACAACCTTTTAAACTTTTTGAACAATTAATTATAATTTGTATCTTCAAAAAATCATAACAATTATAACTCTGTATCATGTTTTCTTTTCATAAACTTACAGATATGAAATGGAACAAATAACTTTTTTTTCCTTTTTTACTCCGACTAAAATTACGTTTTCCTTGCAAATTGAACCGTAACATGGAAATTATGAGGTTTTTGGTAACTTGGCATCTCATAGTTTACCAAATATTATAGTATTTTTTGTAAGAATTAACATCAAAGGTATCATTTCACTTGATATTTTCTCTGATCAGAGCTCCAATAAGCTTGCAAAATTAAAACAGTTAGCAGGCATACAAAAACAAAATGATTTTAGCAGTAACTTCTGGAACAAAACAGCTCAGAATTTCCTTACAGTCAGCATATATCACAAACCAAATTTGTATTGAAAAAAAAAAGAGTACAAAATGTAGAGAGATGAAAGCCTGCAAAGGTGAAAGTACACCACAATATTATAATCCATTCACTAATGATGATAGGTTGATAGGTCTGTATCCCATACATACCATTCTATTCTCTTGCAAAATGACAAATGGCAGGTGCATACAATGGGGACTGGATCGTATCCTAGCAACACGAGTTATCGCAAATTAATTCAAAGTCATTACATGAACAATGAAGGCTTCCAAGTTGATCAATAACTTGTCACATTTCTACAGAGTTAAACAATTGAAGCTGGTTTTATCACATGGACTATGTCATCTTTTAAGAGCAAGAACGGCGTTAACTAAAATATATTTTAAACCTGACTTAACTTTGTCGGTTATTGCCTTAGTCATATTGGTTATGAATTTTGTTATATACTGTATATTATACTTTGTGAGAATTGCAAACCACATTTGTATGTATTATTGGCAATGTAAATTGTTCATTATTCAGCCTTCTGGCTGCGAAGTGCAATTATAATAAAACCTTTTCAATCAATCAATCAATCAATCAAAAGAAATGCGGTGACATAGCTCTAAAAATTATCAGGGGGATTAAAATAGAATGGATTCTTGTACACCTCATGTATATTCTATAGGGAGATCTTGGAAAGCTGTCAGCAAACTGAAGAGATTAACCTATTTAAATAAAAACTTAAATTATCATTATGAAGCAAATTGAAATATCTTCATAGTTTTCCACTCTTCAAGTTTTGAAGAACATGATGGATGAAACATTCGTTTTGTAAAAGGCAAGCTAATTACATTTTATATTTTAGTGCCAAAATCTAGGTCTACATGTAGGTAGAAAACAACTAACAAATAAAATAAAGACAAATATATCTGGAACTTTGTGCTATAATGCTGTACATTATACTTTACTCAGCATCCCTCTTAATTACTCATTTTTCTCAGTGGGATTTTGATTAAAAAATCCACAGAATTTTCTCCTTTCATTTCTCATTTCTGCAGCTTCTACTAGTTTTTCTAACATAAACATGAACTCTATTCATGCTGTGAACGTTATAATGCTGGATGAACCGGCCTGCTGGAACTAATTCTCACCATGTGTTCTCTTAAATTGGATGTAAGTTGGTTTCAAAGCAATTATTTTATAAAGGGTCTCCAGATTTGGTCAGAGAGGGGCAATAAAAACAAGGGTATTATTAGGAATTATTCAGTAGTATTGGAGATAGCATCCATTCTGTACACAAGCATTAATACAAGCATTAATACAAGCAAGCAATTAAAACAAGCAAGTAGAGGTGCCGTGGTCGAGTGGATACGTCACTGGACCATGGATCACAAGGTCTGCAGTTCAAGTCCCGATACGGCACCAATGTCCTTAGGCAAGGCGTTAATCTACATTTGCCACACTCAACCCAGGTAAGGTAAATGGGTACCTGGTAGGATTATTCCTTGAAATGCACTGTGCGCTGATAACGGCTGCCGGAGCTAAAGCTCGGGTAATCATTTTCAAAGCTCTTATGAAGCGCATAGGGACGTTATGTGATATGCGCTATACGGAATATTATTATTATAGCTTGCTTTTTGCATCATAAGCATTAATAAGTCAATATTTGATAAATGAACAATAGTGCAAAATATATCTTAGAGGTTCATACATGTAGGAGCTCATCTTAGATTTTCTAATGGAAAGTTAATGTATTGGAAGGAAATTATGATGTTTCAATTCTGTAAGATGTCACTATGAAAATAATTACTGCATCAATAAGTTATATAATGCTTTCACATTTTCTCTAGAGAATTTCTTTGCAAGTGTAACTTTCTTTTAATAATATATATTTAAAAATATTTTTAAAAAGGGAGAGCTGAGTTAAAAATAATATGTACACCGTATGGACCAATGATTTTAAGCTCCCAAGACAAGTGAGAAAAGCTGGATGTTTAAAATGTCAGTGTCTAGCTCGTAGCTAGCTCACCATACTTCATCCAGTCAACCTCCATTTCCAATATTAATTTCAATGATTCAGCTAATAGATCACTTATTATAGACATTCCACTTCAGACTGCATTTTGATGAAAGATTCAACATTGGATTTAAGGATTCTTTTTATCATGAAGATTATCATCATCATAGTGCATATCAAAACTGATATTTTTAAATTAAAAAAAGTGAAATGACAATATGCTCACAGGCTTCTAACTCAAAATTATTTGAAAAAAACTCAAATAAAAATGTCATATAAATAACAAAATGATTAGATCTAAACTCAATCTAGATATTAAAGCAGAGTGTAAACAAATGTTTGAAAAATTTGAACAATTCTCACCTGTGCGTTCCAATCCACGATGAAGCAACATGAAAGAAAAAAGAAAAGAAAATAATGGATTAATAATGAGTCAGTTCATCTTTGAATTTTCATTACATGAAACTAGCATCCTTCAATTGCTCTCTGCTCCACTCTCCTCCCGCTCTTCCTATTTCTTCCCTCTCCTTCTCACTCTCCTCTTTTCTCTCCCTCTCTCTTCCTCTCTCTCCTCTCTTATTTTACACCTATCCCCCGAACGTCCCCCTTGTTGCTTTCCAGCTTTTGTAATATTCATAACCACCTACTGGCTTCTGTGTGGTGTGACAGCAGCCAAGTTCAACCGGCCTACACAACCAATGTGTTATATCCCTGATGAATAAAACATCAGCAAGAGAGAAAAGTACAATCAACCCAACCTACCCCTGAATATGGCCTGGCCAGACCCACTCAATTCACCTGACATTGTCTGTTAGGGTCATGTAAACATCGGAACTAGCTTGGACAAATTGGCTTGGCAATGTGTCTTCCTAGATCATCTACAAAACTGAGATTAGAAGAGATACTTTTAAATTGCTAAACTTTTAATGCATCCTAAAGTTCAAATTGTAAATCTACAGCATGAATTATACATGATATCCTTTCTTTGTTCACTACACTACAATGAACTCATGGCATATTGGCTCTGGGGAAGAGAATCAAGATTTCACAACTACACATTATAACAAACATTTCAACATTAACTCACAAAATAAAGGGTCAGCAGGAGACACTAATATATGCAGAATGAATGGACAGTGATGTAAGATTAGTCAATAGTTCTATGACCAGTGAATCCAAGAGATTTGACAACAGAAAGACACGCTCCACTGCAAAAGATTGCAGGAAAACAATGAGGAATGAGAGAAAATAAGAACAGAAAAGAAAATATGACTTGAGCTTGAAAGTGAGAGAAATGTAGAAAGGGTGAGGGAACAAAAGAATAAGAAAGAGTGAAAGAATTTGAATGAAACTAACCAGAGAAATGAAAGAGAGGTGGAGGGGGAGGGGAAACTTTTTCAAAGATGATGAGATAGACATAGAAAGTGGACCACAACCTAAAAATACAAATGAGGATAGATGAGAATACAAATGCAAGTCGACTGGTAGAACAGATCATGCTTCCAACTACTTCCTTCCTATTTCATCTTATGAGAGCCAGGAGGACGTTAGTTCTATTCAAAAGTATATAAGTTAATTCCCTTCTGGCTCTCAGTAGATGATTTCATCTCGTCAACAAAGATAAAGACTGCATCCCCCTAGACTCTGGGGTAGAGAGACCATGTTTGAGCAAACCTCACCTAGGCCTAGCTACCCCATCAGCCTTACCCACCCCATCGGCCGCCCATAAATGGATTTGACGTGCAAACCACAAGACATAACCTCCATCCCTCCCCGATACTAACCCGCTCAACGAACCAAACCCCTGGACAAATATTTTCCGCAAAGTTTGATAATTGGATAACTCAACACAGGGTAGCGAGGGGGACGGACAGACTAAATTACATGAGCGAGCGAGCGAGAGAGAGCAGCCCCCTCCCGAGAATGAGTGATGCATTTCACACTCATGCCCTGTTCAGACGAAACTAACTATATACGAAACTCAAATAAAGAAACATATATCGAAATGTAGAGAATCATTGCACCAAGCACTGTCCTATATCATTGCACCAAGCACTGTCCTATATCATTGCACCAAGCACTGTCCTATATCATTGTACCAAGCACTGTCCTATATCTTTGCACCAAGCACTGTCCTATATCATTGCACCAAGCACTGTCCTATATCATTGCACCAAGCACTGTCCTATATCATTGCACCAAGCACTGTCCTATATCCTTGCACCAAGCACTGTCCTATATCATTGCACCAAGCACTGTCCTATATCATTGCACCAAGCACTGTCCTATATCATTGCACCAAGCACTGTCCTATATCATTGCACCAAGCACTGTCCTATATCATTGCACCAAGCACTGTCCTATATCTTTGCACAGCACAAGGTGTGTTCAGACTGCATAACATTGTAAAAGAAATATATAAAGAAACTACACTGTAGTTTAGAAGAGGTCAGTTGACCATTGGTCAATCACCGTGCGCTCACTGTCCCTCCTAATTTAACAGTTTTTTAATGACGTTCAGATGAGAACGGGACCTTGATTCTTTACTGAGTTTTGTTGGAAACAATGCGCAAAATAGGGTTTGCTACACGTTTCGTAATACGATGTGTATAGGAAAAAACAATCAATTATTTATTGTAAACTACGATATAGTACGATTTATACAATGAATTTGGGGAGTGTGAACAGGAGGTTAATGTCTAAAGGTAAACACGATTCCCACCAGATTTGCACAACAGGGCAATCACAAATTTTCAATAGGTTTAGCAGTTACCCCAAAGCATGGGAAGGCCTTTCTGTAATAGCATTGAACGTAAATCTACTTTCAAATATTGGAGGAAAACATATCCGAAGAGTTGAGAAAAATTAGCATTATCTTTTGAAATTTTTGAAATAGTAGTAAAGATTCAGTACGTTTTATAACAAAATATGACCAATGCGATTACCTAACAAATCAATTGAGTGCTCGCCTAAAGCATGGACAATTGTGTGAATTCATAACTTATCACACAAATAAAAATGAAAAGCTCGTACAGGAATTTCACATTAGTCTGATTTAATCAGTTTGTTTATCATGATGCGGTTACTGAGGCTACAAACACCAGACTACGAGCTCTCCCGTTTCATCAGACTGACAGACAATACACACTCATTTTAGAATGACATCGAGTCACGGGTTTAATGTGACAATTTCCTCTCATTGACAATGTAATTTGCTGGCACTCCAGTTGCACTTTATAAAGGTGAGACTAATAACAACAATGACTTCTATTCAGTATATCTTAGAAAATTACAACAAAACATGTTTACTTAATAAATGTACATATACTGTATATTGTCTTTGCATTACATACAGGGACCACATGGCTCCTGTAATAAAGCATATAGGTGATTGGGAGAATTCACTACACAATGGTTATTTCATGATTCGCAAAAGATATTATAAGTTTCTGGTTTCAGTTGGCACATACATGGATTTCATTTCAATAAATAAATATGAATTTGAATTTATATTTACATGTATGTTCCTCATACATCTTGATCAATTATTTGCTAAGCCCGAGATACCCTGTGTTGGGCTGAGCTGGGCTGGGCTCTTTAGAAAATATGCATTATACCAATGTATCAAGGGAGCCTGACCCAACCTACATTCCTATGAGCTATGTGTGAATGGAGTCACAGAGACCCATGGTGTGTGAATGGAGTTATTGAAAGCCGTGGTGCTATGTGTGAAAGGAGTCATTGCGAGCCGTGGTGTCGGTGGCTGAAAAGCAAATTATATCCATTAGTACACAACGACGGAAACTAAAGAGAGGACTGTCGTTACGAATGCATCGCCGGTGGGGATATCTGTCTGTGCCTGGACTGGTTTAATCCAACAAATAAGATTATTTAGAGGCATTTCTATGCTTTGAGCATCGTAATGTCAAGAATTTGTGCTTGAATTATCATAATGAAATAGAGTGTGCAGAGTTTTGCATAATCTGTGACCGAGCCGACTGGATTTGAAAATACATTTCCCCTCAAAGAAATAGATCATTTTCAGATTGTATGAAATAAGCTGCAACTTGTAAAAGAACATTGAAATACACAAACAAAAACTCATAAAGTTTAAAGTCTTGTTGTACAGAGTTATAAGAGTATCTTCCTGTAAAAACAGCAGCTAATAGGGTTATGTTAAGGCTGAAAGTTAGCAGTTTTAAAGTTCCTTTAGAGCATAGCAAACTCATTTGTGGCTTTATAAATGAACATGAGTACTTGAAGGAAACAAAAGACCATTATCATATTAGAGTTCAAATTTAATACAAAATCATTCCACTGGATAATTATCATTGTGCTGAATAGATAGTAGAAAGGAAATTAGCAAATGTGTACTAAATTCCATTTACAGAACATATCAACATATATGTGTGAATATTATTTCACTCCTACTGCCATGAGATATACCGGTAATTGTATTCATACTATTAAGTAGCACTGTGTTATAATGAATAGTGCATATTCAAACTCCCTATTTGTTGTAGTACTGTAATTTAATTCACAAACCTAATTAACGTTTGAGAGGCTTAGCGTAATGCTATTATGTGCATTCACAAACTGACCACCGCTCTAATAGTATGCTTGCGTCATTGAATATTCTGTAAGAATTAAATTAAGTCTAGGCTTATTCTTCTTCTCAAATGCTCCATATACACAACATAATTAATCTGCTGAAGGCACATGCTTCGAACAAGCAGCTAAATGAAATCCTACTGCATGTATAACATAATCCATCCCCCTCCCTTGCTTTATCCTCATTATAATTCATCACTTTCCATCAGCTATTCATGAGCTCTCTCATTGTTACACAGCCGTCTGAACACCAAGCCCTTTAAATTCTTTGACACACACACTCCCTCTCTCTCTCTCTCTCTCTCTATTTCTCTCTCTCTCTCTCCCGCCACAGCTATTCATTTGACTGCTGTGGAATAATCAATGATGCTGGCTATTGTCAAACACAGAGACACACCTGGCGGCAATGATGGCTACACGATGACGACCGACCGTCCGAACGACCCACGCACGCGATGCAACGCCAGACAGATCACACGCACAAGCATGCATGGGCAAGGTTCGAAACCATCAATGTCATCTGTCATATTCACATATACTCTTTAACGAGGGATCCCCAAAACAACCCTAATGTACTATTCAACCACACATCCCATTGATCCAGTATGTTCATATGAATGTAACTCTGATTCATTCAATGATGAGCATGATAATCAGATTACAAGATCTGAACAAAAGGCATGAACAATTGTAGGCTCACATTCGCACATGTTCTCAAATAGTCCTCCAATGTATGCTTCGGGACAATTCCT